ATATATATATATATACATATTACGAATATATATGATAAATATATATGATGAAAACATATTCTTACATACTTACATTGACGCACACGTACAAGATTGCATTTGATACTTTCATTCTATTATTAAATCCACATTCATGTTCCGTAACACATATGTATGAATGCATATATATATATACATACGTATAAATTCAGCTATTTGTTGTAATGTTTGCCACACTATTGGCCAGATTACGTATATAAAAATATCTAGATTTTATTGTATATAAGAGAGCATTTATAAAATATACCTGTGCACATGTATTTTCATTACCAACCACGATCGTCCGTTACGAGCTATTAGCGTTATTTCAAAAGCATTTATAAGCTTATGTAAAGCTAAGTCAAGATCATCAATTTATTGCATTTATTATCATATTATATATGAACATCATTTTTGCTTTCATTCTTCAAACGTCAATTGAATGACTGAGCGTTTTGTTAAAGCAAACAATTATAATCAAGGCATAAAACAAAACCGAAGTAATTAAGCTTTGAATGAAATGTTGCGAAGAGATTTTATGTAAAGCATAACTAAAATCATAAATCAGTTATAACTTAGACGTTCAATTCCTAAATAGGGCACTTTTAATCCATTTATTCACTGTTCTCGTTTCTTAATGTCACATTTTCGACGACTTCTTCCCGTCTTCTACAATGTCTTACAAATTAACTGTCATTTCATAGCATCAAGTCAAAAAGTTTTATTCTTCGTTTCAAAAGTTCTGCTTATATCGTTAATATTATCGCTTTAAAATATACGACGCTTGCATTCAATTATAACTTAAAATACGATCTTAGTAAATTTGCCAGATGACCGTTAAAAGCCTAATAATCATTTATTATGGGGTGGAGTTAAAATCACGATCAAATCTGTTCATTGGTCCGTCCAGAATTAGGGAAATCCTACAAAAGCGTACAAACAAAGATCTTAATACATTTCTAATAATGTGAATATATGTATTTAGTTCATATTGCGAGAGATTTTCTATTCAATATTCGTGATTATAAAAAGACATATTTTATCGCTTCTGGCTAAATAAAATATATACTAGATAAGTCAATGTACTTTCGGCCTCTAA